TCCCTCCCCGCTAGCTGTGATTGGTTTAATGTACTATGACGTGCCCCGCCGCGGGAGCGTTCAAGCCCCTTGACCTACCCACGTCAGTTACACCCCTCCCGGCTACACCGTGTATATCGGTATCCATTGTTCCATAAGAATGGCTTCCACCGGACCACCACCACCACCACAAAGAAACCTTGCATTACCTGGACCCAGCCGCCCTAAGCCAAAGAAGACATGACGTTCCTTAAGCTACGAAATCAAATATAAGATCATACAAGAGTTGGAGAAAGGAACAAGACAGGTTGATCTCGCGCGCCAGCATGGTGTTAACGAATCAACTATCAGGACAATTAAGAAGGATGCAGCCAAGATACAGGAGCACATGAACATCACAAAGTCCACAGGTGCTTCTATGATTAAGTATTTCCACAACCAGGTGCTTCTCAAGACGGAAAAATTACTTGTGAGCTACTTGGTGCGTCAGGCGCGACGGAACATGGCGGTGGACACGCGCTCAGTTAAGGAGTACGCACGTGAACTGTATGCTGCAGTGTTACGAAAGATGGGAATTACAGAGCCCAAACCCTTTAATGCTTCCTCTGGGTGGTTACAGAGGTTTAAGAAGAGGAACAAGATCACCAATATCAACATTGGTGGTGAAGAAGCTAGTGCTGACCGTGTTGCGGCTAGGGAATTTCCTCCGTTTTTACGTGAGATTATGGAGGAAGGACAGTACACTGACGACCAGGTGTTTAACATGGACGAATCTGGTCTTTTTTGGAAAAAGCTACCTTCCAAGACCTTCGTTGTGAAGAATGCCAGCAAGTGTCGGGGCCGGAAGTTGCAGAAGGAGCGCATCACCGTCCTGTTTACCACCAATGCCTCCGGGACCTGTAAGCTCAAGTTATCGGTGAACCACACAGCACGCAAGCCGCACGCCTACAAGAGCATGGGCATGGCCAAGCTAAATTTCCACTGGCTGACCGCATGTAAGGTGTGGATGTTCTCTACTCTGTCCCTCTCCTGGTTTGATGACTGTTTCGCTCCCGATGTGAAGAAATTCTGTGAGCAACAGAATGTGCCATTCAAGATTTTGTTGCTGCTTGACAACGCACCAGGACACTCGCCCCTACTGTTAGATCGTCACCCCAACATAAAAGTGGTCTTCTTTCCTCCCAACACTATGTCTATAATACAGCCCATGGACCAAGAATTGATCTGTAATGTAAAAACTGCATTCTCTGCTAAAAAATTCAAGCTCCTGAACGACTACACCAACACCAAGGAAGAGTTGCGTAACCTGAGTGACACCAACACCGATAGCAAGAGCGAAGACGGCGAGGATCAACAGTTGGCAGAGCAAGAAGTACTTTTGAAACAATTCTGGAGAACATTCAACGTCAAGAAAGCTGTTGACTTCTTGGTGGAGGCAAGGGATCAGCTGTCTGTAGCAACTGTTCATCACGCATGGAGACATGTGTTGCAAGGTATTCCGGGTGTTAGGCCGAGTAAATCTGTGACTGCTGAGGTTCAGACTGTTGCAGTAGCAGTGGACCTTGTCAGAGAAGCTGCGCAGAGTGTTACATTTGCAGGCTTCTCCGAGACCACCAACGACGACATCCTGGAGGTGATAAGGGATCCTGATGTGACTACCGACGAGATGGTAGATGATGATGACGTCATTGAAGAGGCAGGTGGTGCGTCATCCCAAGAAGAACGCCACTTATCCCATAGTAATGTAAGGGGTGCAATCGAGTGTAATGAGAAAGTCAAACTCCTCCTTTCCGACGACCCTGACGCTAACGGGTATGAAATCTTCACTACCCAGCTGTTGCAGACTATGGAGCCCTACATCAAGGTTTATCACGACAACATAAACACCAGCCGTCAGCAAAGCATTACAGAGTTCTTCGCCCGCAACCCACCACAGTCAGCCCAAGCCAGTGATAGTGACAGAGGCAGAGACAGTGATGATGACTTTGAGGGATTTATCAGGGAGGCACTAGTAAGTGTGGATGACACCGATGAAGACTCACCTGAGGGCCAGTAGCCTGCCCTCTGCCTTGGAACCAGCCTCCATTCCCCTACGCCGACCCATCTCTTCTACTAACGTAAGTGTTAACCCCAACCTTGTTTTTTTCTAACCTAACCTTCAGTTTATTATTCTCTTATTGATTGTTCCCTTCTATATTATGTGTGTGTGAATACCATCATAATGTTAAGATGTTATTTTTAGTAAAACGTACGTATTGTGTCGGGAAAAAGTGGAGTTTGGGGGTCGGCCCGGTCTCTATTTCAATTAATCCCATATGTTATGTTGTTCACTTTACGCGTTTCTCACTTTACGCTAGCCGCCGTGGGTTCAATTAACCGCGTAAAGTGAGGGTTCACTAATTTAAAAATATAAATTAGAAATTAAAATGTTACAAGACAATGGTTTATTAGTGCTGGTAATCGGGCATTTTTTTTAAACACTCGGGTCAGCAAGCCCGAAGAGCAATCCTGAGTGATGGGTTACCGTTTGGTAACCCGACAAATGGATTCATCAAACTCGAATATCAATCACAAACATCGGGTTACTATTTAGTAACCCGAACGCCGCAACTGGAGAGGGTTGGTATGCCTTATCCAAGATAAATGTAAATATACAGGTCATCCGCATTGCTATTACAGAGAATTTCCTTAAGAAATTTTTCCATAGTATATTTAACTTTTGTTTATTGTTGTTCCAGCGATGTAAGATAGGACTGACACGATTTAAATCGAGTGATTGAAACCATCATTAATCAATTTTGGCACTTTTTTCTAACCCCGAGTTCGAACATTTCTTCTAAAAAATATTTTACGTAACCTAATCTAATCTTACAAATATTGGTAGTACCCAAACACAACCGGAACAACAACCCAAACAGTGAAATATAGCTGGAGAATTTTTTTTCCAGGGTAATTATCAGCGTGGGTCACAGATGACACTTTTTGTAAACTATTACCTCAGCATCTACCTAGTACATTTGGCTCATCTTATATCTTTAGTATATAATATATTGGCGAATTGGAAATTGCATTCCATCTATCTATCACAAACAAAAGTGCGTTACTGTACTTACCATACTTGAAGCTATAAGAGGATGATTGTAGGAGTACAATGCTTGATAAAATTGGAAAAGGGCGATGGAGAGATGAAAAATCTTCATAGTTGAAGGTAAAACATCACAGGGGTACACGGCGGTCTCTTCAAAATATATACATTTCCATTGGAACCGTTATTAGAAGATTTAAATATTTGTTTTCTGTTTTACATCATCTTAATTTACATATATTATATTTCAGAGATATTTTCTATTTATATACAGTGGGGTATGCTATAACGAATCTAATTGGTTATAGAACCTTGTTCGCTATAGCATTCGTTCGTTATAGGATTAATCCGTTCCAGGCCCCCAAATACAACCACTTAACACTGAAAAATATAATATAAAATTGTAAAAATTGTAAAAAAGTGCATAAATATGCATCTAAACCCCTGAAATAAAGAATATCATTAATACTTGTAATAAAAAAAACAATAAATTAGTAAAAAAAAAAAAAAATAAATAATGTTCGTTGTGGGAGTTTCGTTCGTTATAGCATTCTCAATTTTATAGGTAAAACCGTTCGTTATAGCATACCCCACTGTATAACTAGTTTGAACATTCGGGATAAGTCTTTCGGGTGCCTACCCACACCCGAGGACTTATCCCGAACTTTCCAATAATATTGTCGGACTACCAAATGGTAACCCGACAAAATTTGGTTTAAAAAAATGGATTACGGCTCGGAGGGCGCTTTCGGGTTACTAATAAGTAACCCGAATGTTTAAAAAAATGACCGACTGTGTTTGCTGTGTTAGTACTGTTAACTCACAATATCCGGCAGGTAAATCCTGACCATGAGGTATGAGTCTTGAGACAAATACACTTGAGTTGAGTTGCCAATTACCCAAATATCCTATACAAAGTATTTCTTCCCGCCTGGACATTCAAAATATGCTGCGAAAATTAAGAACTTTCAGGAACGTTACGCAGAGTTGCCAAGGTGAACGTTCAGAAACGTCACCCCGGTTTTAAGGAATGAAGATGCAAACCTAATAAAAATAAATAAGTAATTATAATAATTATCATAAGGGCAAAAACATAAAGGGAATAAACATTTCTTACGTGCATGGGAGTTAGCACACAGATCTGGGGATTGGGTAGCAGTGTGGGGGATCTGAGCTGTTCTGTCTCTTGTTTCTGTGTGTAGTGAAATAATTGCCAAATGGCAACACAGTATTTTTTCTTTTCTTTTATTTATTATTACATTACATTTATTTATTCCTCGCATTTACTGGTACAGTATACATGAGAGACAGTTCAGCCAGGCAGTCACCCAGCTGACTCAAGAGATGTGCTTGGCTGCTGACTATGTATGCCATAACGTTACATAGGGGGGAGAGAAAGTGGCTAGTGGCTGGACACAGTTACAGCTCACTACCTCGATACATACATTCACTTCCCGCACATACATACTCATTCTCTTCATTTTTCTTAGTTTATAGTTTTATATTTTATTTTATTTATTTCTAAGCCACATTAGATCATTGAAATGATGTGCACTTGGAGCACAGAATCCCCAGTTTTTCCACTCTTTCCTCCCAAATTTTTCCCAGTGAGTCATACATCGTTAAGCCAAAAATTTATCAATTGTTAAATGAGAAAGGATGTTGAAAGTTTTATATCCCTAAACCAAAATATTACTAAGTAAATTAATGTTAAATGAGAGATACTTGTATTGTTTTATTTTAAATCAAAGTTTTCGATGACAGTCCTCTGACAAATAAAATGGACCATGCCCTTCAACATATATTTTGGCATATTCCCATTAATTAAGAGTTTCAAAAGTTGTTAGTGTGTAGATAAGGACTCCAGTCATATACCTTCAGAATACTCCTTAATGATTAAAGATAACTGTGAGAGTGGCTCTGTTTGATGTTGCAGGTATTAACAACATTCATCAGGTTAAAAATGAGACAGTACAAAATTTGAGAAGATCACCGAGGAAATTGTGTTCCACCACCATTCCTAGCATTCCATTGGAAGGACTTGCCAAACATCTACAGGATGTCACCACACTACATGGTAATTTTAGCTGTAATTTCAAGCTTGTTTTCTACTTGAATAAATATTTTTGATGTCACAAAACTTTTTATAGCCAGCCGCCCTTAACGAGGTGGCTGGAGTACTGTATTTTAGTTCACTGATCTTTCAGTTTAGGATACAGTAGATTATAACAGAAGTGGCTGGAACTGATCTAAAGGATTGATAAATCTCCCTGATTGCAGTAAAAACCTTAAAATGGGTAAACTCTTGACTTACAGAAAAGTTTTGTTGTTCAATTTTATCCATAAATCAGAATTGTTTAACAAATCCTGTCTTCCCATTAACTTCCAGTGTATAATATGACATGTTCCCAAGGACCTAAATTCTTCCCCAAGTCATAATAAAATTATACTTCAGACCTTTTTAATCATATATGTAATGGAGAAATATAACTGCAATAAGTGAATATTAATATTGATTGTTTATGTACTCGTAATAAGACATGAAACAAAAATACAATCATGCGCCGGTTAACGTCCTAGATACGTTCTTCGAAACGTGACGTTAACCAAAATGGACGTTGTCCGATCATCACATAAACTTTTTATTTATACTTATGTGTATGTGGAATACTATATACGTACATATACACTTTTACTGTTAAATCACTACTGTAATGTGATACAGGTAATTTTTTTTATCTCGTGCAAAATACATGACGTTTATATTAAATTTATTCACTGTTTTACATGGATTCCAGCAACGCCGAGCAGATGGGGGAGAGGGTGGGAGCGAGCTTAGGGGGCGTGGGGGGAGGGGAGGTAGTACGTTTGACATTTGGCACCGGCCCAGGTCTTACGTGTGTATATTTATCAGTTCTTAGGTGACTAAGCTTCTCTCTTATAAAATGCCAATGAAATGACCTGGGTGAATATAATTAACATAGCTGGGATTCTTGTAACATACTGATTAATTTGAATATAAACATGCTATAATTTGCACTAGACTAAACAATTTTAGTACCGTAATCAAATTAGTACATGTGCACTCCAGCTTTGCACTAACGTCATTTATTTCTATTACGTTTCTTTTAGTATGGTTTGTGCTTGTAAATGGATAAAAATAAATGAAGAAATCTATGTAAATGTACCCAAAAATACAGTTGAAAAACTTTTTTATAAAATGTATTACAATACTGTACACTAATGTACAAAATTTTTTATCTCTTGAGCAAAATATATGACGTTTATATTCAAATTATTGGCTGTCTTGCAAGGATTCCAGCAATGCAAATTATAATCTCCTAACTTTAGTCTGAGATATTATGCAAGATAAAAACTGTAAGCCTAAAAGCCTGGCTGGGGGAGGGGGGACTGACGGCTCCGCCACCCAGCGAGGGGTTGGTGGGGGGGGGTGGGGGGTTGAGGTCTCTGTGTGTTTATTTAACAGTCCTACTAAGCTTCTCTCATTTTAAAATGCCAGTGATATGACCTAGGAAAATATAATTAACATAGCTGGGATTCTTGTAAGATACTGATTTATTTGAATTTAAACATGTTGTAATTCGCACTAGACATAACAATTTTAGTACTGTAATCAAATTAGTACATGTGCACTCCAGCTTTGCACTAATTTATTTTATGTTTCTTTTAGTATGGTGTGTGCATGTAAATGGATGAAAATAAATGAAGAAATTTATGTAAATCTACCCAAAAATACAGTTGAAAAACTTTTTATAAAATGTACTACAGTATTGTACACTAATGTACAGTCGACCCTCGTTAAAACGACTAATAGGGGGGGAGGGGTGTCTGTTTTAGCCTATTGTCCTAATTAACCGATTTAGGGGTTAATATTGCATAATATTGCATTATACAGCTATGTGTATGTTTATTTGAGTGCCCCGTCATAGGAGTCCGTTTTCTCTCACTTCAGGACGCCTGAGTCGTACGTTTTCTCTTAATCTTAGAGTGCAGTACACCAGTGACTTCTTTATTTCTTAGTAATGACACAGAATTTAAAATTGCAACTGGGGTTGCAATTGTTGAGACAACTTAGGTATGCCTGATTACAGTTGGAATATTCAAGATCCATTGTGAGTGATGTTTAAAGCTTCAACTGTCTTTATGGTTGGTAAAACTTGTCAAGTCTGTCAGTCTGAATGGCATGTGTGAGGCCTTGTGTTTGTACAATCGCTAAATATATAAATATATAATGTTATGGTAATTATAAGAAACACATAGGCATGACGAGATTTATTACAAAGTGATGAAAAGGATACTGTAAAGTGGGTAGTCCACAAAACATGTCGCTATGTCTCTCTTTATTTGAGTGCCCCATCAAAGAAGTCCGCTTTCTCTCACTTGAGGACGCCTGAGTCGTCCGTTTTCTCTTAATCTTAGAGTGCAGTACACCAGTGACTTCTGTATTTCTTAGTAATGACACAGAATTTGAAATTGCAACCCCAATTGCAACTGGGACAATCCCAGAACCAGAAATTTGATACGGACAGTTCAGATTTCGTCCGATTTATCCGAAATCCGGATTAAAGGGGTCCGAATTAACGAGGGTCGACTGTACTACATTTTTTATATCTTAAGCAAAATATATGACGCTTATATTCAAATTAATCTCTGTCTTGCAAGGATTTCAGCAATGCAAATTATATTATCCTAACTTTAGTCTGAGATATTATATAAAATAAACATAAAGAAATCACCAATCTTTTATCTTGAACACGAGGGTGGTGGGAAGAGGGGGGGGAGGGGGCGGGAGGTGAAGTGACAGAATGTCTGGCGTTTGTTTGTTTATTTATTTGAGATAAGATTTGACAGTTGGCGCTGAAGGCCTGCCTGCGTGTTTATTTATCATTACTTAAGAGTGACTAAGCTCTTTTTATAATTTTCCACCCAAACGACCTGGGTGAATATAACTTACATTGGAAGGATTCTTGTAAGATAGTAATTTATTTGAATGTTTTTTTATTTCAATTTAAATTTTAATTGTTTATTCCTTGATAGAGGAAGCGGGATCCTAGTGCTGTCACTTGGTACCCCTGTACCATAACACCAGAAGCAACTGGCCAGTGTCACAAGTATATACAGTACAGTACAGTCATCCCTTGGTTATCGCGCCTAATTGGGACCCCGCCGATAACGAAAGTACAGAACCTATGGGATTTATTCTAATTGGTTCATTTACCCAAGACCCAACCCCAAGTTTCCCATTTTACGACCATTTAGACCCACTAAATATATATATAATGTTATGGTAAATATCATAAACACACATAGGCATGGCTAGGTTTATTACAAAGTGATGAAAAGGGTACGCTTAATACTGTAGTCCACAAAACATGTAGCTATGCTTTTTTTATTTGGTCCCCCGTCATACGAGTCCGTTTTCTCTCACATCAGGACGCCTGAGTCCTCCGTTTTCTCTCTTAATCTTAGAGTGCACCAGAAACTTTACTATTTTTAGTAATGCCACAGAATTTGAAATTGCAACCCCAATTGCAACTGGGGTTGCAATTGTTGAGGCAACTAGATATGTCTGATTACAGCAAATGTGTTATTGTCAATTTGTAGGTGAAAGATTTTATCCTCAATAGATGTAGGTTAACATTTCACCTGTAGGCAAATGCTTAAAAAAAGCCTAAGTAAGGAAGCATATTCCTTTAACACATAATATCTGACCAGTATGGGGAGGATCATCGTGTCTCCGTCAGGGGGTCGTGGAGTGGTGGTCCAGCAGGCGTCACGTTTTTTTTTTGGGGGGCGGACGTATATGCGATCGGACATTGTTCGGTTGGACATTAACCGGCGCATGACTGTACTGTACTTACGAGAGACTGGTGATGGCTCCCCTTCTGCATTTACCACTTAGCATTGCCAATCCTCTCTCTCCTTGAGGGGTGAACCATAATGTCTGAAGTGTGAATTCAAAGTATCAACTGGTGAATGGGAGGGAGAGTGGAGGGATGTGTCGTGGTAGGTGTCTTACTGTGGGGGAGAGACAGGGTACTGGGAGTGAGGAGGGAAATTGTATATCAGTTAGGAGAGATTATAATGCAGGATAACGCTTTAACAAAAGTGACAGGGTTTCCACAGCTGAGTGTAATAGTCTAGCACTAGCCAGATGGAAATATTAAAGTTCCAATACGATGAGAGGGGGATAAATCCATGTTCTGAGTAAGGTGTTCCTTTGCAGATGGGGGCATTTATGAGCAAATGGTTTATGGATATGTTTGAATTTATATCATGTAAAAGCAGTGAAATTTTATTTAACCCCTTGAGTACGAGATGGAATTTCCCCAGTCGAATAAAGCTATCTGGTTGTAGCCAGAATAAAATAGATAAGAAGGCATCAGACTGAAGGGATTAAACAAAACAATCAGGAAGTGGGCACCATATATTTATTGTAATACAAACTTGATGTGAACAAAATAGTTCAGTTGGCAGCTGTCTGGCTTCAAGTCAGCAAACCACATAGTTTGTTTGTGCCAAACAGTGAGGTTAAAAGGTAAAAAAAAAAGGACACTATTATTGTTATTATTATGAAACATGCAATTTATGATGCAAAGTGATATAGTTGTTGCTTAAAGGTCATAAATAATAGTTTCTTTTATGTTGTCAACTGAAGGGAACCCTCGACTCCCACTCCTCCACCCTCCCTGCCTCCAACACTCAACTCCTACTCTGGGTTGCTGATGGTCAAACAACTGCAGACAGTTCATAGAGAAGAAAAATATTGTTCCTCACATGTCGATGAGGCAGTTATGATGATAATACAAATCCAAGAGATACTCAGTGCAGTATTTCAAGCAACCGTCATGAACTTATGAGGTAAAATCATATTTGTTTGATAACCCATTATCTGGTAACTATCACATTGGCAGACTCATGCCAGAATGGTATTGTGACATTTGGCCACAGGCATTTGGGCCATGGGTTAGGTTAGGTTAGGTTATTATGCTGTTACTTTGACCCATGGACTAAGCGTCCTATCCATCCTGGGCCAAGCGTCCCAGAATATAGAAG